ACCTATACTGTGTCGGTGTGACGTAAAACGCAAAAGAAACAAACAAACAAAGATATAAAAGCTACTTGACATTGGTGATATATAAAAAACCTATTGTTAATTGATTTATTGGGAGGTCAATATACTATTTTGTTGAATTGCTTAAAAACCATTCATAAAAAACATTACACCTCATGTTCAAACTGCAGATTAAAGTTTCTGTTGTTAAAATGTCACAGTATTCGGCACAAAACCGGATGCCTTCAAACAAAATAGAATCAACATCTTACAGAAAAATTTCGAGAAATCGGAGTCGATTCAAATATTCACGGTAAAAAATGTTATAAGTGCAATCAGCAATCAGGGCGGTAAAAAAGAAAGGAGCTATATACCGGAAAGAACCTACGGAAATGATAACACTATAATATAACATTTCTAAAAAATGGCCTACTTAAATCTTTTCGATAAGTTCGTTATTTATTACCATAGCGCGACACTAATGACCATTTCGTTAAGACTAAAACTACTTCTATAAATAGATTTTCCGACTTTCATAATGTTAAGGTCATCTAGCTGTAGCAGGAGAGAGCTACTTCCGGGGCGACAGGTTGCAAAACTTTCACAACCTTGCTTCGCAAGTTCCTCTCCCTTTTTCTGCTACTGCTTTATATAGAGCCTGAAGTTTGACTCACTTCGTCTCTATAATACTGAACCTTTACTGTAGGAAATAACAGGGGCGTCCGTGGCCGAGTGGTTAAGGTCGTTGACTTCAAACCACTTGCCCCTCACCGCTGTGGGTTCGAATCCCGACAGGGACTTTGGATTCTTTCAAGTGAGGAAGCTATCCAGCTAGCTTACGGAATGTCCGTGGTTCTACTCAGGTACTCGTTCCTGCCTGAAATAATGCACGGAAGGGCACCTGAGGTCTTCCTCCACCAGTAAAGCTTGAACGTCGCGATATGACCTAAACTGTGTCGATGTGACGTAAAACCCAAAACAAACAAACAAAAAGTAGGAAATAACAAAAACTCCAAGTTTTCAAATCTAATTTGTTTAATACAGAATTATATATGACAATTTTCTTTATTTAAATGTACAAACTTCAATTTATCAAACTATGAGTTATCTGACAAACAACAAATTCTTCCTTTTATTTGTAATAATTACCAAATTTAAATCAAAGAACTTTCAATGAGAAATGTTTACTTTTAAAAAAAGAACACCTAATAAAGTTAGATAGGAGGAGGGGCGGTAACGTGTCTTTGTAACCTTTTTTTTTTTTATGCGTTTATTTAAGGTCGCCGCCGGAAAGTCCATATGGGCGACCGTACACTCAAGTCGGGTCATCCTAGAGCGTCCCGCTGAGATTTTTCGTTGATTTTTTCCCAGCTTTATTGGTGGAGGAAGACCCCAGGTGCCCCTCCGGGCATTATTTCAGGCACGAGCGGGCACCTGGGTAGAACCACCGACCTTCCGTAAGCCAGCTGGATGGCTTCCTCACATGAAAGATTTCGACCCGAGTGAGGATCGAACCTACAGTGGTGAGGGACCTGTGATCTCAAGTCAACGACTTTAACCACTCGGCCACGGAGGCCCCTATTTTGTAACCTTTGCTATCAATGATGCCTTATATACTAGAGTTATAATTATTTCAAAACAACCAATATATCAACATGTTATTTTTAACATTTAGTTTCGTAAATATAAATTAAGAATAATAATCAAAAGTAAAATTATTAAAGTCTTATACCTAAAATCTTCTTAATATTGACAAATTCAATCGCTAATAGTATATTTGATATGATGTGTGTAAATGTAATTCAATTATAATTTCATGTACTACTAAAAAAGGGAAATAACAAATTTATAACCTAAGTGTCAAAAACGACAACATTTATTTATATACAAAGAAAGGGAAACAACCTGCCCTACTACATAGCTATTTATAGCTTTCAAATTCATGTACAGCAGAACTGCTTTCCGGTTCTCATTCATTAATATGACATGCTGCGAATCAACGATGGGGAAACCAATATTTTTGTTTTGCCCATGGACAAAAAAATTAGTAAACACAAATAGCTCCGCGCCTGCGGGCACGGAGCACGGAGCAATCAAATACATACTCCAATTTTTATCATGAATTATCCATTTCTGTATGAAACCATTCATTTGTTCGTGAATCATTCATTTATGTTTGAAAATACATGAATTATTCATTAATTCTTGATACTTCTCCTTATTTTGTGGTATCCAATAATATTTTAAACTATTTCACGAAATATTCATTTATGATTGAATATACTTCTTATATGTTAGCAGCAAATTTATTTCTTTCAATTTGACTTACGAAATATATAGGTTCATTTACTTTCCGTATTGCTCGTTTCGGCCATAGATTTGCATAATTATGTGTTACTAATGTACAGTTCGCGCTTAATTTCCACATTCTTGTGTTACTCGATATTCACGGTGAAAAGGCTGTTAATACCTTTAATCTGCTAAAAATTCACTTGTTACTTAGCCATCGTTTTATAAACTGATTTTTATTTTTTATAGAAAATTGATGAAAAGTATTAAGTTTTGAGCATATTCTATGAATCAACCTATAAAATCCTCTAGTTTTATCGAATTTTGCTGAATTTTTATTTTTTGTAAAAAAGTTAACCAAAATATGAAATATTCTCAAAATGTTTCTCTGACAAATTTATATTAAAGCACGTTTCTCTCTTTTTCAACAAATTTATAGATTGAAGCATGACTTGTGTGTGTGTGTGTTGAGTTTATTTACCCTCGCCACCGGTTTAAAACCATATGGGCGAGCATATGCTTCATTTATTATAGGGAAAACACTTTATTTAGTTAATATCTGCATATGTGACTAGTGAGTACAATATTTCCTGCCCCAACAATGCAAAATAATTGCACTGAATGGGGCCGGAAAACGGTGGGATTACATCCCACACTAAGATTTAAAAGCTGTATTTAAAATTTAAACTTAAATTAAAAAAGGGGGGAAGACGCTTATACGCGGACGTCTTCTATATAGGGAACAAAAAAAAAACCCTAATAATTATGTTTAATGATAGCTTCATTTATTGCAAATCATATTTATAATGTTAAAACAAATATTAAAAGGGGGAAGACGCTTATACGCGTACGCCTTCTATAACAGACCAACACAGTTAGATTTGTAGATCTTTGTTTTTTATAAACTTTATTTAACACATGAGAAGGTTTATAAGTATAAACCTTAGCAACACGCCTGAGAACATAGTTTTTTACAATTTGGCCATCATTTAATACAATTACTTTTGTAGGGAGACCAATGCAGAAACGATTTTGACAGATAGCGCCGAACCACGTTTAGTAGGTAAATTTTGATTGGCCGAAAAATGTTGTGATTTGTATGGCTAATTAAAAAGAGATGATAAGAAATGATTGGTTGATAGTAAACTGATTTCATTGGCGCATTTACTATCCGATTTTGGAGCTTAGCTTGAAGAATTTTGTGATCTAAACCACGTGGTCTCTGTATTGACATTTCTGCACTGTCTCCCATATAATGCGAGTTGGTTTCCCCTCTGACAGGTTATATTTATTATGTTTCTATGTATAGAATTTCATTTATTACAGTAATTGGGGACACTTTGCCATTTATTCTCCTTAAAATTCACTTGCAATACATTTCATATGTTCCTTAATAGTTGAACTAAGTATGATTATAGAGTAAAACCAATAATTACCCAAAAATTCAAGTAGTGGGAGGACAACTCCTACTTATACCAGAAATTTGCATTTTCTAGCTATAATTCTTATTTTCCTCCTATCCTATTATCAAATATTATGTTAAACTTGTTAAAACTACATATTTATATCCTAAATAGATCATATTATAACCATTTGATCTTATTATGGCCATTATTAATTATATCAAACAGCAAATTTAGAAAATAGACATCATTAGTCCAAATTTGAGTTGCTTCCCTTGTACTATTATCTGAGATTTATTGATTTAAATATTAAGTTTATGTGTCATAGGTAATTGGCCATATCTTCTTTAATTTTTAATGAATTTTGATGGAATTTTCTTTATTATCTCATTAAAAGATTGCTCTTAATTATTATAGTGATGTGGCTTTGTAAATAAAGAACTTATCCCTTTGGGGGAGTTTAAGTTGGTGAGATTTTCTTGTTTATTGTTAAATTGACTATTTGCCACATATTTGATATGCTGTATAGGGAAATAACTATAATTTTTTTAATAAACCACAAAAATTAATGAAAATTTTGTTAATTAGACCTTTAATGGTGTTAGTTAATTATTATTAGTTAATAGTATAGATATTTCAATTGTATTTGGGTTTTATCTTTGGTTTTACTGGGCCATATTATGTCAATAAATAGAAATTTCACTGATTTTCATAAGTATCTATATTATGATTTATATACTATCATAAATTTGGACAATTTTTGACTATATTTGATATTGTCAAAACTATAAATCTATAAAGAGGAACCGGTATCAGGGGACTGAGTATGCAAACTGGGTCCCATTAACACCTTTTGATAAATTAAAGTGAAGTATACAAATAATGCAGTCTTTATGTTATTGTCAGAGGGGAGGAAAAGTAGGATTTTACATTAAAGGCCAATCATGACTTCATATTTTAATATGACTGCTGGGATCAAGGTCACAGTTGTATTTGGACAAAAAAATTAACATTAAAGCCCCATCACTCAATAAATTAGTGAAATGGGTTATTATTTGTTTAAATTTTATCTGTTAGACAACAGTTTAGAATAAACAACTCTAAAGCTTTAAAAATGTGTACTGAGTATTTCTTTGGTGGATTCAGTATATTTTGTGTGTTATATCCCAAACCTACAGCACCAAGTGCCGACCGCAGTTCATTTCTATGGTCCCTGAACTGGTCACACTCATGCAATAGGTGGGATATATTGTATCTCACTCCACATTGGGCACATGACTTCAATCATCCAATCAGTTTTATAAGCATTATGTTTGAAACAGCCAATCAGAATTTAAAAAACAATAACGTCTGCAAGAGCCAATCAGATTGAAAACAAATCAACATTGTTCATGAAAGAGCCAATCAGATTCATGTTTATAAATATAATGTATGAAAGAGCCAAATAAAACCAAGTTTATAAATAGAATGTTTGAAACAGCCAATCATTTTAAAGATTATTTTCATAATGTTGATAGCTTAGCTTCATTTGAGTCATCTTCTTGTATGCCATTTATACCATTGTTTTCAGAATGTACATGTATTGGATTTATATAAGAATGTCTATATTTTTACTGCTCCTTAAAGTTACATTTAATAAATTTCATAAAAACAGAAATAGCGACATTTCATTAAAAAATTGTGTTTCATATCGACTCCAGGTCTTATTTTGGTATCCAACCAAAATGAGTTTTATGAGCATACAAATGTGCAACCTCATTGTGACGAATTCGGAAGTACAATTTTTGTTTGCATGAGAAACTCTGCCTTCAGATCATCCGTACATCAATGTTAAATCAACAAACATTGCTATAAGTAGCAGTCCTAATTTAACGTTATATTTCCGCATTGTAACGGTTATTTTCATACAAATTTAATCTTTTTTATGAGATGATTAATTTTTCTGAACCCCAGGCCTAGTGCACCGTGAAGTTTAAACGGTTAAATTGTGTTTGCACAAGAAAATCTTATATTTGCTGTGTTCCGGATAGCAACTATAACACCGTGACGTAGCGCATACACGAGCTGATTATAGTCTTCATTTGCATGTTAAAATCCGTATACGGATTTTAGTGTATCGTGGGGTTTTCCATTTAAAATCCTTATTTATGAACAGTATTTGATGAGATTTATAACGATACTGTTAAAAAGTTTAATGAAACTGTAGAATGCTTGGTTTTGAGGCCGACGTCAAAAATAGTTTTACATATTTATTTAATGTAAAAGGATGTAACAATTAAAACTATTTGAATCTGAAGAAAAATACTTGAATGGTTTAAATTATTTTGTCTTACTCCAATTGCCTAAAACTTGCCAGAAATGTTCCGATGTATAATTACCATGTAATAAACAATATATAAATTTATAATTCCAATGTATTTTACAATATACAGTTCCGAATTCAAATTCATATGATTGCAATACCAGCAGACTATTTTTTAATCCTCAGAAGTTTTATTCATATTTTTGTCGTAAAATCAATGCCGAATCTTAAGATTTATTAGATACTGGCTGATTTGAATAAGCCTCCATATCCGGGTAGTTAAGGTCACCGACTTCAAACCACTTTATCCTCACACGCTTTGAGTTCAAATCCTGACGAATCCTAATGATTATTTCATGTGTGTAAGCTTTTCAGTTAGCTTTAATAGAATAATAATGTATGACATAGAATCTAATGGTCATTTCTTACCGCTGATTCAGAAATCACGGGCGATTAGTTGACTTTCACTTGCTGAGAAACTGTTAATTACTGATTATCTAAAAAAAATGTTAAGTGGATCAACGACCGACATATGGCCAAAACTGTGATGCTGACGGTATGGTTTCATATATTGTAACTGTGGATTAATATAATGGATTACGATTTATTTAGAAGGTGATCAATTCATATATAGTCGAAGTGAAGTTATATATTATCCAAAATGGTTAAATCAATTTAAACATAACAATATAAGACAGCCATGGCTTTCCATACTAAAATGTAGTAAAATGAATTTCAAGCGTTTGCACCATGTGATCGCTCAATATAATTATGGTTATCAGATCCAATTTAATTAATTTATCCTCGATTTCATTTTGCTTGTCGCCTTATCCAATATAGGTTTGATAGCTGTGTACTGGTCAAACAGAATTCGGTATTGCACTCACGTTTAATAATATAAGTGCAATATAAGGCACATCACAACACGCCAATTTAAATAATAATTGACTAGCTTTTTTAAAAAAAAGATACTCCTGTGTCATACACATTATTACAAACAGAAATTCTTCCACAAAATATTTAACATTTGATTCTTATTTCTAAGTGAGAAAAGAAATCCCAACACCGTAATGACCCATATTTTTTCAGGAATTCCACTTAAATAAAACAAGTGTCATCAAATTATCGACAATGTCAGGATGATCGTAATATAAGTTGTTAAAAGTCGGCAAATCATAATATTAACCCATTCGTAATGATTTCCCGGTTCGATGGATGGAAAAGTTTTCTCTAACAATGTAACCAACAATGGAGTTCTCCGAATCTCCTGCTCCGTTTCGTATAGGGTCTAGTCTTCATGCCGTTTGAATTTCACGTTTGATATATTATTTACAATCAACAAGTTCAATAATCGAAGTACACACGTTTTCCAAGGTTGTTTTCAATTTATACTGTCCGTCTTCCCACAACCATAGTACTCTTGTCCTTTTCTCATACAAATCTCGTATCAAAGGGGTCATAAGGGCGGTTTCAACTTGATCTTTGACCATTAACACGATTGGTTTCTCTAACATAAACGCCTGATCAAACTCATTCCTACAATGAATACTCTGACTGTAATTGTCAGTTAAAACTACCATCACCACTGATGATTTCTTCAAAAGTACAGAAATTTGATCATGAATAGAGCGTCCAAGTTGAAAATTCCTGTCGCCTTCGCAAATTAGGTCCCGATCATCTCCGACCATTTTCTGAAGATGCTCATTGAGGGACTGGTACACATACTTCTGGACGAAGTCTTCATCTTGACTGCTGTACGACAGAAATACCACAAACTCGTAACATTCTGTCCCTTCCCTAATAAGTGCCACGCGGTCTGCCATTTCTAATTCATGCGCTTTACGACGTCGGCGTTGCCGTGTTGCAATGAACGAAACTATAGCTGCAACTAATACAGTCGCGACAGTGGCACATGAGATTATTATGACCTTTGGACGGTTACATATTTTCTGGACATTATCTATAGCAGATTGATCGATGCCAACTAGTTGCTCGTGCTCATTCCGACACTTGAGAAGAGATGAATTTTCTATAGATGATTTGGAATGAAAAATCCAAGTTATGCTAGCAAGGGAATCACAGTTGGTACAACTTATCGGGTTGCCCGTTAGCTTGAATAAAGTTTTTCCTTCAGATCCATTTGGATACTTGCTGTTATTTAAATCTTTTATGACATTCAGCCGTACCAAGGATGCAGCATCGAGGACCTTTATCTGGTTCCTTTCTAAATTAATAGTTTTGAGATTATTTAAGTTAACTGCGTGAAACGAAATCTGAGTCAACAAATTGTCTGATAAGTGTATAATTTCTAATTTCCGATTAGATTCGAACATATTGTACGGTATTGTTGTTAGACGGTTATTCGACAGATTCACTTCCGTTAGATGTTTCAGATTTTCGTACAGTCTTTCAAATAAACTTGAATTTTCTGCTACCATGTCATTTAGGTTGTTATGAGATAGATCTATGAGTTTCAGTAAAGAAAGACCTGAAAACATCATGGGGTTAATAAATCGAATATTGCATTGCGATAAATCTATTGACTCTAATTTGAACTTTTTAGCGATTACCCTTAAATCAAGTCTTTCAAATCTATTGTCTCGCAACACTAATGTTTTCAAATTGAACTTACTTATTCCAACAACGTAAAATGTTACGTTTTTTAATATGTACCGCGTCTGTTTTACCATTAATCCTGCCAGATTGAAGTATTCGACACTTCTAAAATACGGTATTAGATTTAAGAAAAGGGGAACAGATTTGTTTGCCACAACAAGCGTCTGAGGACCACGATCAGGAATTAATGTTGAAGGTAACGTTATATAGCTGGCATCCAGTCTTTTTAAATTTGGACAGAAACTTGGATGATCGTCAATTTCATAATCATTTAACATCATCCGGGATATGTTCATAAATTCTAAAGTATTACAGTTTTCTTTAAACGACGTCAAATTCATGAAGAGCACTTGGATGGAACTAAGATCCAACTCCTTTATTCCTTTTGCTGAAATGAGTTCAAAGAAATTGTTTTCGAGTCTGATTCCGGTATGGTAGGTATTTAAGAGGGACAGATTTAGTGACCTCAGGTTGGGAACTGCTTTTGTGTTATTCAACGCACTGATGAGAAAGTCTATATCGAATCTACGGCACCCTGATAGATCCAGCAATTTCAAATTGGGAATTCCTATTAATGTGTCAGGCCTGAATACCACAGTGGTTGATATATCTATATGTAATATCTCAAGTCTTTTTAAACCGTTGAAACACAGTGAATCAAATACACCAACTGGATTATTCATATTAGTCCGGCTATTGTCCGCAGTTATTACAAGTTTTGTAACATGCTCCCAGTTTGTTGACAAAAACGCCCCACGTGTTAGAACTCTATTTGGAACGTAAATATTTTTAAGATGAACTGTCGTCACTCCATTTGGAATGTCACTTGGTAATCCGGTACAATTAAGTTCTAAACCTTGTCGTGTGCATTTATTCCATTTACGTTCTATGCCGTTAAACTTAGAAGATTCACACTGTAGGCTTCCGAACATACAAAATCCACATATCGTAAAAAACGTGATACGATTAAGTACCGCCATCTTAAAACTGAAGCTAGCCCATCAATTATTCAAATCAGCAAACAATCTCTGACAAATTTTCATTTCAGTTTAATATTTCACATATAACAACGACAAAAACCGTCCATGTGAATATACATCTCCTTAATCTGAAAGACGAATATGTAGTGTTTGCATTGTTCAAATGAATCATAAATATAGAATAATTAAGGTTTAAAAGGAAATGACGTCTTTGCGAACTTTATTGACTCGCATATACCCGGTAAATATCCGTGAATGGGTTTGTGCGAGTAATTTTGTTAAGACTAGCTGTCAATAAAAATGTATCAAACCGGCCCCTTAACCTTAACACTGTACATAATGTACTCTATCTAAATAAATTATTGTCCCCCGCCTTTTCGAAGCAAAAAGGGGAATATAGAAATAGGCTCCGTCCATCTGTCTGTCTGTTCGTCCGTCCGTCTGTCTGTCCGAGCAACCAATAGGTTAGGGGGCCATCTAACAGTAAACAGAACAAAAGAGAACAATAGAGTTCATTCCGTAAAAATAGAATAAGGGGCCATTAAACAAAAGAAAAGAACAAAAGAAATGACCCTTTAGTCCATTTAAGTGGCACATCCGTCCGTCTGTCTGTCCGTCCGTACAAACCAGAGCTACATTATGGGGTTTGGTCTATTGTTCTCATAACAATAGATGTCTTTGATGTCATTCATTCCGTTTCTCTTGTGGGGTTATTCTCTGCATTGTGGGGTTAAAAAGAACAAAAGAAATAACAAAAAAAAACCGCATAATGTAGCTCTGGTAAGAATGTCCGTCTGTCCGTCCGTCACACTTTCGTGTCCGGTCCATAACTTTGTCATTTATCAAAGGAATCTGAAATAATTTGGCACAAATGTTTGTTACAAAAAGACAATGTGTCATGCGCAACAACCAGACCCCTACCTCCAAGGTCAAGGTCGCACTTGCTCCTTAAAGGTCAACATTGTCTTTTTGAGGGTATATGTTGTGTCCGGTCCATTACTTTCTTATCTTTGAAGGGATTTTGTAAATACTTGCCACAATTGTTCACAATAATAAGACGATGTGTCATGCGCAACAACCGGTCACCTATCTCCAAGGTCAAGGTGACACTTGGAGGTCAAAAATTAACATAGTCTGTTATAGGGTATATTTTGTGTCCGGTCCATAACTTTTTCATAGATCGAAAGATTTTGTAAATACTTGCCACAAATAGTCACTTTAATAAGACAATTTGGCATGCACAACACCTGCATCCCTACCTCTAAGTTCAAGGTCACAGTTAGAGGTCAAAATTTAACATAGTCTGTTTAAGGGTATATTTTGTGTCCGATCAAGAACTTCTTCGGGATTTTAAAATAACTAGACACAAATAGTCACAACAAGAAGACGAAATTTCAAGTACTGCACCCCTACCTCCAAGGTCACTAAGAGGTCAAAGGTTAACAGTCTGTTATATGGTATATTTTGTGTCCTGTCCATAACTTCTTCATAGATAAAGGGATTTTGAAAATATTTGGCACAAATAGTCACAATGATAACATGATATGACATGCGTAGCACCTGTGTCCCTACCTCCAAGATCAAGGTCACACTTAGAGGTCAAAGATTTACATAATCTGTTATAGGTTTATTTTGTGTCAGATCTATAACTTCTTCATAGTTCAAGGGATTTTGAAAATACTTGGCACAAATAATTACAATAATAAGACGATATGTCATGCATAACACCTGCACCCCTACCTCCAAGGTCAAGGTGACACTTAGAGGTCAAAGCTTTACATGATTAATGTTTAAATTCCGTGTTTTATTTTATTTCTTTAATAAATTTATTGTTGCATTTGCAGATCTAGCATTGATCATAAGTTTGGACTGAAAGTCCTGAGATCCATACCTCAATCTTTTGAAATAGAACAATTTTATGCTTCGTATATAAATTCTCCGAGGCGGGGGACGTTAGTAACTCTGTTACAAATTCTTGTTTATTTTAGTATGCTATGCTTTTAATGGGGATTTTTGTAAGAGAACGACACAATGTTTGAATCTTTGTTTGTATAATATGTGTCTATTAAATCAATGAAACAAAAGAACAAACCAAAAAAAGAGGAAATTTAAAAATGAACGTCTTCGTAGGTCGTCACCGAATGTTGACTTTTAAGAATCATTTAGTGGGCAATTGTGGCGCCGTTATATGTGGCAACGACACTAAATGTCGCACTTGCGCGCTAAATGTCGCACAATTGCCGCAAAATGTCACAACCACCGCTAAATATCTCATAATATTTTGTCGTTAAATGTTGCAATGATAACGTTAAATATCGCACCATTTTCCCTTATGTTTAATGTCACAATACTACTGTGAAATGGCATTGAATTGATGGACTCCGTCTGATTTGAAATTACGTTTACTGTGTTTCTTCGATGCACCTATCGCATTGAAAACTTTTTCATCTTGAGAAAATAAATTAAATGAAAGTTTAAAGACATATACAGTTACATAGACACAAAGGCTAATTGAAAACTTTTCAATAGAATTTGTTTATACTTTGAATAAGCTTACTAGATCAAAAGCAATTGTGTTAATATGACCACTGTTAACAGCACTGCACCTTTACAATGCTGGAACCGAAGTGATAATACCAGTATAGAGATACATATGTACGTAGGCAGGCTGAACCTGTCTTTACATATGTCTGACTTACTTTAGACTCTTTCGTTTGACTGTCTTGATATTCACAGATCGATAGACAGTTTAAAAAATGGAAGCTTGAAAAGTTTATTTTACAAATTCAGCATGTTAAATGCATATTATGCCTCAGAAATGCTATCACTTTTATTTCTCAAAAGTATTTCTTTTATTGGTATCTTGTTACAGTTTCCAAACAATACTTTTTTGTCATATAGATGATCTACCTTTGCTTCTTTTGCTCTGTTTGCAGTTGGTATGAATATAGTGAATTAGTATTTTGTACGTAAGTCAAAATACTAATTTGTTTACATTTGCTACCTTTACGACACATTACCGCACATTCAGTGCTACTTTCTTCAGTTGATATGCGTCCAACATTACATGCTCTAAATCACTTACTAAAACATTATTTAACACATGTTTAACATTTCTTTAGAATCAAATAAATGTGGATTTTTTACACAAAAAGACAACTAAGAATATTATTCTGCCTAATCAGCTTTAGATACATCTAATTATGACATGCAAAGCCCTAATTAGTTTTTAGACATTGAAACGTCACACCAACACAGAAAGGTCATATAGCGATTATCTGGTAGAGAAGGACCTCTGGAACCACAGGAAATTTAGTAGAACCACTGACGTTCTGTAAGCTAGCTCAAGCCTCGTTACCGCTCAATGGGTGGGTGCCCTTGGGATGGATATTCCGATCCGAACCGCAACATATGACAGATTTTATTATGTTCAAAAGCAATAAGATATGTACAGTCATTTACTCAATGTTTATTGTGATTAAAACAATAGTATTGAGGCATTTAAGGGAAAATCGTGGACATTTAACGTTAACAGCAGAAGATTTCAGATTCCTAAATTTACCCATTACAGGTATCTTACCTTAACGGCAGAAAATTTTGTGACATTAAGTGGCGGTTACGGCAATCAGCGGCAATGGTCCGATTTTTAGCGGCGTTGCGACATATAACAGTGCCACGCCCAATGTTTCAGCTGAGTTTTTAAGATAGGCCTGTTTTTTTTGTGTTGTTGTTGTTGTTTGTTTGTCTTTTTGAATTGAGACTGATATATTTCGATATTTGTGTACCATGTGATGTAGGTCGGGTCAATAACTTGTGGGCAAAAATCAGATCATTTCCTAATCCGTTGTTTTTCCGGAACAATCATTTTTATGGTGTAAAATTACTAAAGAAATATAAGCGTTAATACAAACAGGCCAAGTATCGCCCAAAAATCGACTGATTACATGGATTATATTTCTTTATCATCTATCGCATATTTTCAATTTTAAGTGCCTCAGTTGATATTTGTATATGAATTTAAAATTGTTTTATCGATCTCACTGAAGATCGTTTTAAGAGTGTTATAAATATTAATCGTCTCAACATATTTAGATACTTTTTAAACAATCTAAGTTTAATACATCAAACATTTCAGATAAGGTCTGATTAGTCACACATCTAAATTAAAGCAGTATGTCTCCATTTTTGTGTATATTTGTTTCATAAATTTAAATTGTGAATGCCCCTCAAAAATACCAAAAACAAAAAGGAAAGACTGGAAAAAACGGGTATGTACTACAATTAAACATTTTCTCGGTTTCTAAATTTTAAAAAACGCTGTTTTAATTTAGGGTTTTTTTTCTTGCCTAATGTACTTCCTATCAACAGAAAATACATAAAACTAAATAAAATATGTAAATATTTTACTTTGTATACGCCTTTCGTAATGGGATAATGCTTTGAAATAAAACAGATTTCTCATATTTGGTTTTCACCCTTTGTTGGGTTTAACCCTTTATAATTCATAAAATACAGATATATTTTTTTCTAAAAGACCCCTTTTTTTTAAAAAAAAAGTGTTAAGAAATTCGAAGGGAAAATTGAATGTTAAAGGCAACAAATCTAACAATATTTGTTTTTTGTATTTTGTCTTTACTGTTAAACAATTCAACAGCACGATGGACCAACCATGTTAACGGTGTGATGGAGTAGAGGCGAACTTATGCGCCGCAACATATATCGGTCCGATTTCCACGCAGTGATCTCCCCTTAATTCATCGACGTTGTGTATCTTTTTTCTCGATAACGATTACAGATAGGCAGCGAGATGTTCCGAATTCCGAAACGCAGGTGTTCATACAAGTTTGCTTCTTTAAAAAGAAGCATGCGAAAGGTCTTTTTGCAGCTGTTGAATATTTGTTCATTTCGAAAATATTTGGAGATAGAAGAGGCTCCAAAGATTTTCCAATACGGGCATAAAGTATGTTAATCAAACAATATTAAATCCCAGATTTACATTAAAAGTGTATTAGCAATTGATTGGAATAAACAATATATACTGCTGCATGCCTCCAACCACAATATGGCAAGAAAATCAAACTTGAATAAAAATTGTGCCATTTTCG